GAGGCAGGGCGTGTGCTGCTGTTTCGTCTCTAGGGCGGCCAATTTGGACCAAAGCCGATGCCTTTTCGGTCTTGGGGGATGGAGGGAGGCGGCCCTTGTGGCGTGAGTCGCGGCGTTCGTGGGCGGAACGTGCATCTCAGTTGCGGGTGGGCAGCCATGGCCATGCGGATGGCATGGATGTTTGTGTTCGGCGTAGCATGGGTATGCCACAAGGGTGTGAGCGCCGGGGTACATAACCTGTCTGGTTTCACTGGCAGTCGGTGGCAGCGTCTGCGGACGCCGTTCCCCTTCTTGAAGGCTCCGTCGCGGTTGCTCCCACTTCTCTCGGTCTGCTCCAGGTGAAAACTTGATCTTCGTGATCAGACGGTGGTGACACAATGGAGCTGAAATATTAGCATGAATACCTGGTTTGCTGTGCTAATGTGCTGAAACATTTGCACTGATAAGAAGATTTTCTGATTGTAGTTTGTGAGATTTTGACTTTTTATTTTCTCTTCGGAAAATATGTGGTGGCCAATATAGATACTAAGTAATTTGGTTGTTTCATATTTTGTAAGTTGAAACCAGTGTATTTCTAGCCAATTTTATTAGCATAATCACCATTCTCATCATTCAACTCCCCCACCCAACAAATATGTGTCAAAAGGCATTTGTTGTCGGTGGTGTTCTGGGAGGTGGAGCTAGTACTATGATATACCTCTTTTTTTAGGGGTTATGAGCTCTTTTTTATTTTGCTGAGCCCATCATGAGTTTGTACTGTCTTTTTTTTTCACTTGCTTATTTTTACTGTCTTGTTCATACACTATGCTACATAGGTGCTATTGTAAAATTTCATATTTATCAGTATTGAGTTACTAGTAGATTAACACTTTTGATTTCTCCTGGTGAAGAATGGCTGCTGCAGTTGTTAGTTGTCACCGAGTCTGTTGCATCGCATCAATGTGGTCGGTGGCGTCTATATGTTATCTGCAAAAAACTTATCGTAATCTGGGGAATTTCGGCCTATACTTTTTTCTACATGTCTTGCTTTTTTCTACATGCTGCGTGCTTGGCAGCTCATCTCTTGATCCTAGACTTGTATGTTTGTCTGTGCTATTCAGCCGTTGTCTGAGAAGAATTGGCATGGCTGTGCTAACTGAATGCCAGGAAGTTGCTCTAGATTTTTTAGAAATTCTCGATCTGTTTATATGCTAGATCAAATCAGATCTGCACCCATTTGACCAAAACGAACCCTTGTAAGCATGGTTTTTGTCTCGGTCTAGAAGTTATTTCGATGTTTACAGGTCTGAAATAATTGTTGTAGAAATTTGTTTGAGAGATACGGGGCTTTATTTGCCCTGGGAGCGAGGTTGCTGCTGCTGTCCAGTTATTTTGTAGTGGTACATATGAGCCAGAGGACCGTTGTTCTGGCAGCGGCTGCTGAAGATGCGGGTCTGGATAACAATGAGTCTACAGTCGCACTCGAAATTGGATTATTAGCTGCAGTTCTCTGCTGGGCTTCCAAGTCGTCTCGAGCGAGTTTTATACGACTGAATTTTATTGCCCCCTGAGACTGACTGGTAGTTACTGCTGTCCACTGAATTCCTAGAGAGCTATGACTGAAATTGATATCAGCTGGATTGATTTCTGACTCTGACTGAAATTCCATGTTGCTGCAACGCTTATGACCAAACTTGATTGATTTTTTTAACCCTTTTTGAACTTACCCTAAGACTGATGCTGCTACGGATGTCCACTGATTTTGCAATGGAAGGACTCGTCATTTTCGCAGCAGTTTACTTGATGGTAATGATACCGGGCCAGAAATTTCCGCAACAAGTCTATAATCACATCCATGATTCTCTGCTTAAGATGCAGGACACACATGGCAGCAAGTGTACGGTCGTACTCCTAATCGCAAGAACACATACGGCAGGAGGTCGCACTCTTAGCTTGCAGTTTTTTGCTGGACTTCCAAGTCATTTGAATGTTATTTACATGTCTGAAATTATTGCTGTAGAAATTTAAATGACAGAGACAGGACTTTCCTTGCCCTGAGAGCGAGGTGCCCTGGGTGCGAGGTTGCTGCTGCTGTCCAGTTATTTGTAGTGGTTCATATGAGCCAGAGGACTCGTCGTCCTCGCAGCGGCTGTTTACTGCTGAAGATGCGGGACTGGGTGGCAGCGAGTCTACAATCACCCTCGTAATCGCAGGAACACGTACGCAGGAGGTTTCATTCTTGGCTTGTAGTTTTCTGCTGAACTTTGAGGTCATCTGAATGTTTTTTATACGGCTGAAATTACCGCCGATTAATTCGGAATGCGTGCGACAGCAAGAAATCGGCTTAATTTTTCTTGCCCTGAGCTGACGGTGAGGTTGCTGCTGCTGTCCAGTACTCCATATATGCGACACTGGACTGCGGGTCATTGAAATTCTAGAGGTAAGTGCACTGCGACTCTGACTGAAATTCCACAACTCAATTTCTTACCCTGAGGCTGAGGTTGCTACTGCTGTCCACTGATTTGTAATGGTCCAAAGGACTCATAATTTTTGCAGCAATTTACTTGATGAGACACTGACCTGGACCGGGACGGCAAGATGTCTACAATCACATTCATGGTTGTAACAACTTGGCCTTAGAAAAAAGTGTGAACACGGCAGGAGGTTGCATTCGCAGTCGATACGAATTCTTCCCCTTAGCGGTCATCATCGTCTCCATACACTGACAAGAGCAAGAAGAGTAAGTTTGCTACAGGAGGAAGGAAACATACTACAGAAATTTCGATACAAAAGACTGGGGGCTACCATTTACAAAGAATGGGATATGGTTCACACTTACTACAGAAGTTTTGACCTACAAAACACCATTATACATTTCTCTGCATTTACAGAAGTTTTGGCTACACAAGGGTTTAGACAGGAGAGGATGGGGCAACAGAAAAATATCGTCACCAACAGCTGTCGAAAATGGATTTTTCTGCATTTCTTACATCATGTTTTGGTTTGCCTCTGCCTGAATCACCATAATACATTCTGCACAAGTTGTTATTCATATATTCGGATAATATGTGTCTTCCAGAAAGATGATTACATTCTAGATTCTACTACCAATTAAGCAGTTGGAGTTATATATCCTCTTTAACTGCTAGATTTTATTACATGTTTCCACATAGAAGTTCATAGGACCCGGGAAACATAAGAATCTGAGATCTCATCCTCCTCCGAGATCTCGGTCAGCTCAGATAACAAAGGGTAAGAATCCGGAACAGCGGTGTGCTCGTCGTCGCAGAAGAATGGCCTGGAAGGCATCTGCAGGCCATCGAAGCCACCTTCCAGCATCTCTATGACCTCGCTCATCGTCGGCCTGTCATTAGACTTCATCTGGATGCACCATAGTCCAACGATGCACAGCTTCCTCTCCAACTCATGCATGTCAGCAACGGGAGATATCTCACACACTTCTTGTTCAGTTAGTCTATCATACACCCATGACGGGTAGTATGCTTGGCTCGAGTTCGCTGCATTCGGATCGGCGTTCCTTCTTCCTCCAGCCATCTCCAACAGCAGCATCCCAAAGCTGTAAACATCAGACTTGCTCGATATGACCCCAAAACTCCGAGATATCATCTCAGGAGCTATGTATCCAACAGTTCCCCGTAGAGCTCTCGATGGCACAAAACTCTTGTCCCTTGGGTACAGTTTGGCGAGACCGAAATCAGCAACTTTTGGGACAAAATTGCTGTCTAGAAGGATGTTGTGCGGCTTGATGTCAAAGTGGAGAATCTGCATATCACAACCTCGATGCAAGTAATCAATCCCTCGGGCAATGCCCAAAGCAATCTCATTGAGCTTGTCCCAAGAAAAACTCTTCTCGGCCAAGAAGATGTACTTGTCAAGAGAACCTCGAGGCATGTACTCGTAGACGAGCGCCCTTCTCATTTCATCTGAGCAGAACCCCACAAGACGGACCACATTGATGTGGTGGATCCTGCCGATGGTGGAGACTTCACTGATGAAGTCTTCTCCATTGCAGTTGGAGCTGCCCTCTAGCATCTTGATGGCAACATGAACATTGCCTGGCAGTAGCACGCCCTTGAACACAGAGCCATAGCCACCTTGGCCTAGCTTGTCTCTGAAGTGGCCTGTGATTGCAATGATGTCGGTGTAGACGTATCTCATCGGCCCGATCATTTGTTGCATCCGAAGAAACTTCTCAACTGCATCAATTGTAATCTTTGTTTTCCAATACGTGTATGCAAGGAAGATCAATACAGCCAGGGGCGCCAGCACAAACCTGCATAGTACTACCCAAACAAGTAGGGGTGCCTTAAGTTAGACAACATGTATACTCCCTTTGTTTCATTTTAGTTTGCATATAAAATTTGGTCAAAGTCAAGCTTTGTAAAGTTTGACTAACTTTATATTAAAACATATCGACATTCACGATATGAAATCAATATTATCAAATGGATCCTGAAATGTATTTTCATACTATATATAGTTTTAGTATTGTAGATGTTCGTATTTTTGTTATAAATTTGGTCAAACTTTGTGTAGTTTGACTTCAAATAAATTTATATGCATAGTAAAAAGAAACGGAGGGCGTACAAGATAATAGCTGTGATGATTAAAAAAAGGCAATGCTCACATACCAACAAGGAATTTGGGGATATCAATAGCGGATATTATGGCTCTAACCTCCACATACATGATATGCGTTGTTGATAGTGCATGAGAACCTTTTAAGCATTTTAAGAACTGTAACTCACTCCAGAAGAAAGCACGAATCTGACTCATCATGTTTGCAGGAGATACTTGCTTCCTGAAATCGCTGCAAGTCATCATTGAAAAAAAATGATTTAAGAGAGGATGCAATTTTAAGTCAATTATAAAATAAACAGAATTCAAGAGGAAATAGAACCACATGGTTCCCGTCATCACTCCAGAGGTCAGAGGACAGACTCACCTTGTTGAATTGTGCAGGCATTCTTTGATGATCTTCGAAAGCCTGTCGAGTCTACCATCAACAGGAAAGCTAACAGGAAATCCCTTCCTTGTCAAGTGCATGATATCTGCGTAACTTACATTCTGTAGCTGTTTGTCTCGGATTGACACATTCTGTAGCTGTTTGTCTAGGATTGAGGAACCATCAAAGGGTGTCATGGCTAAGTATCCACAGGAATGCTCAAGATGTAAGATGTCACAATAACCAGCCCAGACATAAACAAATGAATTGTTTGCACTCAGGCAGGCAACAGGCTTGTACCAACTATTTTTCGTTATGGCTCGCGAACAATTAACAAAGCATGCCGAAGGGAATAATTCAACCTCCAAAATGTCAAGGCCATGTGAATCAACCATCCCCTCCGGGTAAGAGTAGCAAGGAAGAAGGCAGCCTCTTTTCGTATCAAAGATAGTGTCGATGGCCCAGAAGGATGAATCATTATAGTTGATGCCAACCACATAGTACTCCGCATTGCCAATGCGGATTTTTGCATGGCTATTGCTGCACTCCAGTTCATAGTACTTAGAACCGCATCCAGGTGGATCACCTCGACGGCGGAATGGATAAGATATGTTTCGGAGACGTCCACACGAGAAATGTGGGCACCCGTCACCTCCCTGGAGATCTGCTACCACAGCTGCAAGCAAAGATAAGAAAGTAAATGCTTGCAAGGTAATGGAACAACAAAGTGCACCAGGGTTAGCCATAGTAGCTTCCCAGATCAATATCCTGGTGGTTACTGAGAAGAGTACAGGTTACTCTTTTTTTTTCCTGAGGAGGGAATACTATTCACCATAATAAGAAGAAAAACAAGTTTGTAGAGAACGAAAGGAAGAATTTTTTTTCTCTCCTGCTCTATCTACCTGGTAATATATAGAGTTCATATTCCCCAGAGATGGCAATTACAGTTATATTAGGATTTCCACAGTGCCCCTTTCCGCACGGCGGGTGTGCCTCTAATTAGGACCTACTTAATGTTCTGGCCCCATTTACTTGGTAAGGGTTCATATTTTCCATAGGTGACAACGACTGTACACTAGTGTTTCCACACAAATGCCCCCTGACGCAGGGCAGAAGAGCTACTAGTCGAAAGAAATTCCTCTGCACTAAGGCGTACAACTATATATCAGAGCATTACAGAATGACTTGCTACATGTGAAGCTGATTAATCAATAAGCTAGTGCTACTTTTTTATACTTGCTTGCTTTCTTCTCCATTCCTCTTCCTCTAGATTCTGGGTAGAGATATACACCAAGATGGGTAAATTCCTTGTTGCTGTTATCCTGCTATCTCTTGTCTACCATGGAACCGAGTTGGCCAGAGCGTGGGATGATAAAGATTTCTTCAGCTACTGTCCACCATCAAAGTGCAGCAAACATGGGCCAGAAATCAGGTTTCCTCTCCGACTTGAATCCAGCAATACATCATCATCATGCGGTACACCATGCATAAAGTTAGCATGCTCTGGCCAGGACACCATCCTAGCTCACCCAGTCCTTGGCCGATGCAAGGTGACTGCCATAGATTACAGCAGTGGTGGCATGTATGTCACCCCGCTTGTATACTCTGTATCTCCATGTCCGCTCCAGAAACTCTTCTCCAAAAGCATACCGGTTGATGCTGCCTATGCAGAGAACCAGGGCCCATGTCAGAACATGTTTTTTGAGTACGATGCCATCCTAATATGTTGTACGAGAGAGTTCACGCCAAGGCTCATCGATGTGGCTAGCCCAGTCTCCTGCCTTAGCAACACAACTCACTCTTCATACCTAGTGGATGCTTCCCGACTCATTTATGTTCTTCCATTGGACTGCAAGGCATGCTCAGATGGCGTCGTCTCGATACCCACTTCCTTCGGACCATTCTTCAACGGTTCCCTTAGTTTTGCAGAGATACTGCTTGAATGGACGTATCCAAGGTTTAAGGTAGACACGGGCGGCATCGCTTGCCAAATATGTGAATGGCAAGGGGGACAGTGTGCATTCAGCTTGCAAAGGAATCAAACATTCTGCATGCATCATGGTAATGTTTCTAACTGGCCAAAAGCACAATAAAATTGTACTAACACTGGTTCTGCAGCTTTAGTTTTGAATTTACTCATTCTACAATTCGATGTGTATGAGGATTTGCTGTCACCGGAAATCGTTTGAGTACCCAGCCTTATCAACCACAAAGATTCGCTATCATTAGAAATCATTTGAGTGCCTAGCTTTAGCAATCACATTGAGGGACACAAACGTATCACAAACAGATCTCATAGAGATAATTAAGTTGAAAGAAATTATGTTTAAATGCTACTGTCTCGCCGTCTACTTATACAGATAATACCACATTGCTACATAATGGACCAAATAAAACACAACCTGCAATTGTGTCCTCTGCAACGGCACAAAATATCAGCACAAACCATAAGCTATAGACAAATACACATACATGAACAAAAAGGTTACTTCTAGTTCTAGATGGTAATTACTATTTAGAACAGCTAGTTGTTGGTTGCATTTGATTCTATTGTAGAACCTTGAGAAGTTTTAGTATTAAAGCAACATGTACAACATGTTTGTACCAAACTCTTCACTTTTAGTATTAAGATAAACAATTGTGCTGTATTTTCGAAAACAAAATGCCATGACGAATGAATGTGTCCGACATTTGATTATCTCTTACAAAAGGCAAAATAATTGTATAGATGTGCCTCAAAAATGTAAAACTGTATTGTATCCCACTAGGGGGCAGTGTATTGCTGTGGGTATACAACAGTCCTTCAAAAATATTTTGTCAAATGTATGTATTGACAACTTATTCAAGAAGTATCCTTTGTTTTTGTTCACTAAACTATTATCCATATCTGATTCTCCTCTTCTGTATTTGCAGGTTCGCATATCAAAGTCATTGCAGGTATAGTTACAACCCATGTCATTCTACACTTCACATGACGAAAAACATGAAAGAAACAAATCTAACCACATTATACATAAAATTCTTCAAATTGGTCATTAGTCTCTTACATTCTCTTATACCTATGACAATCACCATATCAATATGCTTATTTCCTGTTCTCTGTTTATTCAGCAACATCATCGGTGGCCGCATTTGTTGTTCTTTTGTTGACAGTGGCCACTGCACTTTATCTTTCATTGAAGACAAGATATAATGAAGAGATACATTTGAAGGTTGAAATGTTTCTCAAAACATATGGCACGTCAAAACCCACAAGGTACACTTTCTCTGAAGTTAAAAAGATTGCAATACGGTTTAAGGAAAAGGTAGGGCAAGGAGGATTTGGAAGCGTATATAAAGGCGGGCTACCAAATGGAGTGCCTGTGGCAGTCAAGATGCTAGAGAGCTCTACAGGTGAGGGAGAGGAATTCATCAATGAAGTTGCAACCATTGGACTGATCCACCATGCAAATATCGTCCGTCTCTTGGGCTTTTGCTCCGAAGGAAGAAGACGGGCTCTGATTTATGAATTCATGCCTAACGAGTCTCTGGAGAAATACATATTTCCACAAGTTTCTAATACTTCTCGACAACCCCTAGCAACCAACAAAATGCTAGATATTGCTTTAGGCATTGCCCGAGGAATGGAATACCTTCATCAAGGGTGCAACCAGCGCATTCTCCACTTTGACATCAAGCCACACAACATATTGCTGGACTACAACTTCAACCCGAAGATCTCAGACTTTGGCCTTGCCAAGCTATGTGCAAGGGACCAGAGCATCGTTACCTTAACTGCAGCAAGAGGCACCATGGGATACATTGCACCAGAGCTATACTCTCGAAACTTTGGAGGGGTGTCTTACAAGTCAGACGTGTACAGTTTCGGCATGCTGGTGTTGGAAATGGTGAGCGGACGGAGGAACTCAGACCCAAGTGTTGAGTACCAGGACGAGGTATATCTCCCGGAGTGGGTATACGAGAGAGTAATTAGTGGGCATGGATGGGAGCTTACTTTGGAAATGACAGCAGAAGACAAAGAAAAGATGAGGCAGCTGACCGTTGTGGCCCTGTGGTGCATCCAGTGGAACCCGAAGAATCGGCCATCAATGACAAAGGTGGTAAACATGTTAACGGGGAGGTTGCACAACCTGCAGATTCCCCCTAAGCCCTTTGTATCGTCTGAAAATCATCCTAGAACATAAAGCACCGAGAACATGCTGCCATGATTTGGTACATATTGCAGACATGCACTTAGTCCATGTGTTGCACCGCAATGCATAGCACAAGGATGCAGTATATTTCCATCTTTCCACTATTAGCACCTGATTGTATGAATAATCGTCCGTCGCCATGTAATATAATAGTACTACTAGGTATATGCAAGACCATATGAGAATCAAATTTAATTTTAATTGGACTGCATAACAGTTAACAATACAATGGTTCGTTGCTTACATTGTTGTCATGTTCCGCTGATTTATCTTCAACTTGAGTACTTCCTGCAGTGCATTGCTCCTCACATGGAGCTTTATTCTGCGGTTCCAGGCTTCAGTATTTTCTACAGTGCATTCCACATCAGTACTAGTGTTTCCTGCTGTGATTTTATCCCCCTTTCCCTCTTACATTCCACATCAGTAGGCATTTCCTTCTCGTAATCACAATACTGTAAGCTCTTTCTAACACAGAGATGCGCAGATCCCCTGCTTATATTCAACTGTAGAAAAAAGAAGAGAATCCTGTCACTAATCATGCCACTGCAGCAGTTACTACCAAAAACAAAGGGAGAGCAAGGGGATTACTCACCATGATTACGCCCTTTGGTTGCCATTTTCATTGTGCTGATTGAGAATATCACAGGATCATTCCACAGGTCGATTAATCATGCCCCGATCCTTAAAATCTCAGCAATCCATATCCATAGCACTAGCATGGAATATTTTTCCATCTTCCCCCCTCTACATATATAGCACCTGCCAGCTGATGTATGAATAATCAGTCATCACCATGTAATAGTACTAGCAGCTATTTTTTGCATTTTGACAGTTTGAGATGGAGCTTTATTCAGCCATTCCAAGCTTCAGTATTTTCAACAGTGCAATCCACATCAGTGCTAGTGTTTCCTGCTGTGATTCCGATAGCAGTAGCAGCCATTTCCTTCTCCAAATCACAATACAGAGATCCTGTAACTGATACAGAGATGCGCAGATCCCCTGCTTAAATTCGACTGTAGAAAAAAAAAGAAGAGAATCCTGTAACTAATCATGCCGCTGCACCAGTTACAACTACCAAAAACAAAGGGAGAGCATACAAGGGGATTACTCACCATGGCATGGCATGGCAGACAGCTCCCTCGCCAGAGCAGAGGATTGGAGGCGCTTCGCTGATACGCGAGGGAGGCGGCGAATTCGAGCGGTGGTTGCGCGAGTGCGACGGCCGAAAGCGAGCATGGATGACGGCGGCGCGGAAGCACGCCGGCAGCTGGCCGCCGGCCGCCGACTAGGGGATCGCTCGCCGCCGTCTTTCCATTTTGTTCGAGAAAAATGATTGGTGGTCTGGTGGATAAGCCAGAGTTGGACTTTTGGGTCGGGCTGTCCTGCAAAAATGATTGGCAACCGGGATTTTCTAATGAAATGGGCCATGAAACAACCAAGGGCGGAGTCGAGATTGCTGGGCTCTTCTCTTGCACCGCCGCTCGTCCGAGAAATTGTACGGTTGGCTCCAATTCAACGTTCGTATTATCCCTAAAATATTTTTTAAAAAAAAA